ACGGAACCACGATATTTCCGTAACGAGCCAAGTCTGCTTTTTATTTTCGATCCACGATTCTGACAGTCGCCGATTTTCCCACTGGCTGGCCTCTGATGGTTTATCGATCCACCGGTCGGCCTGATTGATGATTGTGGTGGTGACTGCGTATGCTGGTGCACTAGGCTGCGACGCATGGGAATACGTGCACGGGGTGACGAGGAGTTGCAGGTGCAAAGTGGTTTATGGCTTATCGTAACAGGTAGAGAGAAGAATGGAGAAATTGGTGGGATTTCCCGGCTACGAACGTCCACCCGACTCGCGTGTTTATCGATCAATCTGATTTTTCAGTTATTTATCGATTATTTTCGATTACATATACGTAGGATTTCGATTCCTACTGTGATATTTGAATTTGATTAATGCTCGTGGATTAGCGGTGATTTAATAATTATAAACGGGATGTAAATTTGGATTGTTTGTTGAAACGCAGGTAACGATTATGTATTTCACTATTCGCTGTTTAAATACGTATAGTCTGACTCGAAATTCAGGGATTAACCTTTTTTTAGTTCCATGCATTTGTATTCTTTCCATTGTCAGGGCAGTCTTTCAGATATTACTTGGGTAATTCTCTTCTCATTATCGTTGTGAAATTCAATTTATTGATTCGACTATTTAGTTAAATGGTTTCTTTCTTTTTCTTTTTCTTTTTTTTTTTCTTACAATTTTCTCTACAATTCAAGATACTCGAATGCTGGAGCTTTTAAAATGCTCCGTAAGGCTGTCGTAATGAAATAAAAACTCTTCTCAAAGACGGAACTGTCTGTAAAAATTGTGCAGACGAGGTAACGGAATAACAAAGTAGTTCTACGAAGTTCAACATTTACGATCGCCAGATTGAACCATTGTATATCCTAGCGAATAAGTGCAGTTCAATTTATTCCGAATTTCGCAATTAAGGAGTAAAAACACCGGCTCGGTCAAACTCGTCCGGTTACTTTTATCCAGTTGTGTGCATAAAATGGAGCGCGGAATATAACGAACCGAATGTGTATTTTACTTTCATTTCTTTTTTTCTTTTTTT